CTGCAACTACTGTCACGACAAGAACCACTTTGCGAAAGACTGCATGCTAAGGAAAATGGCTGAGAAAAGAGATGGTGAAGATGATGAGACGTACTAAATGTGCAAGTTGGAAGAGATCAAGAAAAAGAAGGCAACTAACAGCTCTATGAATGCCCTGATTGTGTAGGAGAATGCAGGTGAAGATGAGTTCGGTGGCGTCGAAGTTTGGTCAACCGATTTTGAAGATGAAGAGGTGAGAAAGCCCACTCATGGAAAGGCTTATGTGGAAAAGGAAGTAGGTTCGGCTGGAAAGTGTTCAATTGTCACAACTGGTTCATCAACCGAAAGTGCAAATGAGGAACCGAACTTGACTGAGGAAAATTCAAAAGGAGTGTTTACTATAGATTTAATCGAGATAGATATGGAAGAAGATCATCAAGTCCCAATAATCGGTGGAAGACCTTTTCTAAGCACTGCTCGATCCCTAGTGGACGTGTGAGAGTCTAAACATACTCTCTGGGTAGGAGAAGATGTCGTCACCTTTGGAGTAGATCGAGTAATGAAGCATTCAAGGTTTAGTGATGATACGGTTTTCTTGGTGGACACGTTTGAAGAGCTATTGGAAAAAAGAATTGGCGAGCTGGCAAGAAGAAAAATCAGGGGGATTCACCTTCGTTTTACGTGTAATTTTTTGTTTTGTTTCACTTAGCTTATGAACCGGAGCTCCAAATCTCCAGTAGTACCACCATTGGAAGATCCAGAATCAACTTTTCGCAAAAAGAAGGACAAAGCAATAGGGGAAGCAAGCGGTTTTGAAAGCTTCGAGAAAACTCAAGATGAGAAGGCAGGGGATTACGAGCCCGAAACACCACATTCTGAAGATGATAGTGAACCCAAGTCTGAAGTAGAAATGGTAGACATTGCAGACATATCCATGAAGGAATACAAGAAGAGGATGCATGATGATACTAGACCAGGTCTTGCACAACCCACCATTCCAGCAACAACAAACTTAGAGCTGAATGGTCACATACTTGCCCAGCTGAAGGACATCCCATTCCACGGGAAGGATCACGAAGATGCCTATAAGCATATTGACGAGGTCAACGACATAGCCAACTACTTCAACATTCAAAATGTACCATGCAAGACTGTGATATTAAGGATGTTATCGGTTACATTTAATGGTGTCGCGAAGGATTGGTTGAAGGCACTCCCTCCAGGTTCAATAACAACATGATCAAAGATGCTTGAAGAGTTCATTCAACAGTTCTGCCCCCCCCCCACCCCCAATAGTCTCAAAGTTAAAGAAAGAAATTGCCAATTTTGCACAGCAAGGAGGTATTGGAGAGATACAAAGGTTTGCTGAGAAATTGTCCCCAGAATGATATCAATATGTAACAGGAAATCTCCATTTTCTATGATGGGGTAAATGTGAGAACGAGGAAGCTCCTTGACTCCCAAGGACCAATCACGAAGAAAGCCCCGACTATGATAAAGGGGTTGGTTGAAGAATTCTCTAAACACTCAAGAGAATATCATAATCCTCGAAATGACACGAATCGAGGGACGGTGAATACATCTTCGGATGATATGGCGGTGTTAATGGCCATGTTGGATAGCATGGATCGTAGGATGACAAAGATGGTCCAATCCATCCATTCCATTCATGTGGGATGCGATAATTGTAGCGGTCCACGTCTAACAAAAGATTGTGACCTTGATGAGAACGGAAACCGGAAGGCTCAAGTGTGTTATTCAAGCGGGGATAGATATGATGAAGATTAGAGAAAACCTTAAAAGGAATGGATACCATATGAGGAATACAAGAAGGCCAAGGAGGAGAAGTTCAAACAAAAGACAAGAGGGTACTATCAAAAATAAGAACCGACACCCGAAAAGAAGACGAATCTTGAAGCAATGCTCACCCATTTTATAGGCGCGTTAGAAAAAAGGCATGTTGAAACCGATGCAGCGATGAGATATCAACAAGCTATGATGAGAAATCGGCAAGCCCTTATGAGGAATCGGCAAGCTTCAGTCCTCAACATCAAGAAACAACTCGGGAAAGTTGCTAAACAATTCAATTAACGGCCACCGTGTGGACTTCCAAGCAACACCGAGCAAAATCCAAGAGGGGTGCACATCAATGTTGTGACAACAAGGAGTGGAAAAATTGTCACGCCTTTGGCCCAAATCCCGAATGAAGATCCAAAATTGGTGAAGGAAGTAGAAGAAGAAAACCGAGAATTACACTCTGATGACAAAACACTATGTATTGAGGAAAAGAACAAGGCGTGTTTTCCGACTGAAGAAAATAAGAACCCTCTAGTAAATCCATATCAGCCCCCACTGCCATTCCCGAGCCGAGCTATACAAGTTAAACATAATGAAGACTACGAAAAGTTTCTATAACATATCGAGGCCCTCCAAATCAACATCCCATTCATTGAGGCGATGGCTCAAATGCCAAAATATTCGAAGTTCCTAAAGGATCTCCTCACCAATAGAAAGAAGATGGAGGAGGCATCTAAGGTGGTTGTAAATGAGAATTGCTCAACCCCGATGTTGAACAAACTACCAAAGAAGACAAGGGACCCGGGAAGTTTAACCTTGCCATGTCAATTCGAGAATTTGGCTACAAGTTATGCATTGGCCAATTCGGGAGCTAGGGTAAATCTTATGCCCTATTCATTCTTCAAAAAGTTGAACCTTTCAGAACCAAGACCCATCCGTATGGTGATTCATCTAGAAAACAAGACGGTGACATTTCCAAGAGGGATATGCGAGGATCTTTTAGTGAAAGTTGACAAATTCGTGTTTCCTGTAGATTTTATCGAGATAGATATGGAAGAAGATCATCAAGTCCCAATAATCGGTGGAAGACCTTTTCTAAGCTCTGCTCGAGCCCTAGTGGACGTGTGAGAGTCTAAACATACTCTCTAGGTAGGAGAAGATGTCGTCACCTTTGGAGTAGATCGAGTAATGAAGCATTCAAGGTTTAGTGATGATATGGTTTTTTGGTGGACACGTTTGAAGAGCTGTTGGAAAAAAGAATTGGCGAGCTGGCAAGAAGACAAATCAGGGGGATTCACCTTCGTTTTACGTGTAATTTTTTGTTTTGTTTCACTTAGCTTATGAACCGGAGCTCCAAATCTCCAGTAGTACCACCATTGGAAGATCCAGAATTAACTTTTCGCAAAAAGAAGGACAAAGCAATAGGGGAAGCAAGCGGTTTTAAAAGCTTCGAGAAAACTCAAGACGAGAAGGCAGGGGATTACAAGCCCGAAACACCCCATTCTGAAGAGGATAGTGAACCCAAGTCTGAAGTAGAAATGGTAGACATTGCAGACATATCCATGAAGGAATACAAGAAGAGGATGCATGATGATACTAGACCAGGTCTTGCACAACCCACCATTCCAGCAACAACAAACTTAGAGGTGAATGGTCACATACTTGCCCAGCTGAAGGACATCCCATTCCACGGGAAGGATCACGAAGATGCCTATAAGCATATTGACGAGGTCAACGACATAGCCAACTACTTCAACATTCAAAATGTACCATGCAAGACTGTGATATTAAGGATGCTATCGGTTACATTCAATGGTGTCGCGAAGGATTGGTTGAAGGCACTCCCTCCAGGTTCAATAACAACATGACCAAAGATGCTTGAAGAGTTCATTCAACAGTTCTGCCCCCCCCCCCCCCCCAATAGTCTCAAAGTTAAAGAAAGAAATTGCCAATTTTGTACAGCAAGGAGGCGAATCACTTTATAAGGTATTGGAGAGATACAAAGGTTTGCTGAGAAATTGTCCCTAGAATGATATCAATATGTAACAGGAAATCTCCATTTTCTATGATGGGGTAAATGTGAGAACGAGGAAGCTCCTTGACTCCCAAGGACCACTCACGAAGAAAGCCCCGACTATGATAAAGGGGTTGATTGAAGAATTCTCTAAACACTCAAGAGAATATCATAATCCTCGAAATGACATGACTCGAGGGATGGTGAATACATCTTCGGATGATATGGCGGTGGTAATGGCCATGTTGGATAGCATGGATCGTAGGATGACAAAGATGGTCCAATCTAGGGGTGGCAAAAGTCGACACGACACGACAAAAATACACGACACAAAACGAAATTGGGACGAAATCGAAATTCAAATTCGTGTTCGTGTCGTGTTCGTGTTGTTTAAAAAAAACGACGTCGTGTCGTTTCGTGTTCGTGTTTGAAATTAGAAACGATAACAACACGACTAAAACACGATATATACACGACAATAACACGGTATTAAAACGAAATGAAACACGACTATAAAAGGATACTAAAACGATAATAGCACGATAATTTCATTTTACACTATTGAATAATAGGTATTTAATAAAAAAATAATAATAGGTATTTAAATTTATGCATTAAACTAATTAAACAATAAAGGATTCAAGACCTAGGCTAGGCCTTTCCATCGGCTTCTTTGAAAACCCAACAGACTCTTAGAAGTTCTAATCGGCATTTTCCATTTCCCCATTCTCAATACTCAGTAGAACCATAAACCATTGATGGCGGTGTTACTTGCAAACCATACTCAATCGAGTCGATTAAAGGATTCTCCAGTTCATTGTTGGTTTTCAAACTACCATCTCTCAACCATAAGTCGACAATCGGCAATCGCAAAACCCAAATGCTCTAGCCGTTTCCTGTTCTTGCTTCTCAAACACAACCGCTTACTAAACAAATTTCGCTTCTGGTTCAGCCATTCAGACAATCGCAATCGACTCATATACTTGCTTTATTGGTTCTCAAATCTCAACCACAATCTACGCAAGAAAGGTAATTTTTTTTTCATGTGGCGTTAATTTCTTGATTGTTGGATTGATAATTCTTGATTGATTTTGCGATAAGGAGAAACTATATACATCTTTTCTCTTGATTACTTCTTATATTACTCCATATTTGCTTCTGAGATACCTGATTTTACTTATACTTCTAGTCTTCTTGATAAGAAATTGACATGAAGAGGGCAAAGCTTGATAAAACACATAATAAGAAAAAGGCAAATCTTGATAAAACAGATACACATTCTGCTGCTGTAGCTCCTCAGGTATTTCATTATTTTTTTTTAACTTTTTCCCATCTTAATTATATAATTTCTGAAAACAGACCCTCCTTTTTTATTTCAGGATGTTGAACTTGAAGAAGAAGCTGATGACATTGATGTTGTGGAGGTAGATGTTAAAGTAGAGGTTGAAGAAGATCATGTAAAAATGGAAAGGGAAAGGTGGTCTGAGGTATGGAAGTATTATACCAGACTTCCAATTGGTATAGATGGTAGGGAAAGGGCTGAATGTGATAGGTGCAAAAAAAGATACATTTGTGAAACAAAAAATGGGACAGGTAGCTTGAGAAATCACATTCCAAAGTGTCCAAGAAGGGACAACAGTGACATAACTCAATTCATTTTTGCAAAATCAGGTGGTTCCATTTCAATAAATTCCACAGTTTTTAAACCCGAAAGATTTCGTGAACTTATTAGTGAAGCTATTGTCAAGCACGACCTTCCCTTTAAGTTTGTAGAGTATGAGGGAATTAGAGAAATCTTTAGTTACTTAAATGAAAAAGTTACCACAATTACTAGAAACACTGCTAAAGAAGATGTGCTGAATTTGTTTAAAAGAGAAAAAGGAAAACTCAAGAAATTTTTTGAGTTACTTCCTGGTCGGATTTCATTAACTGCTGATTTGTGGTCTTCTATTAACACAGACGGTTTCTTGTGTGTTACTTCTCACTTTATTGATGAGGAGTGGAAGTTGCAAAAAAGAATTCTGAACTTTCAATATATGCCACCTCCACATAATGGCATATGTTTAACTGAAACAATATCTACTTTAGTGACCAATTGGGGGATTGATAAAAAGTTGTTTACAATCACGTTAGATAATGCTGCAAGTAATGATACTTTTGTCAATCTCCTAAAAGGTCAATTATGTAATGAAGTTGCACTTCGTAGTAACGGGGATTATTTTCATGTACGATGTTGTGCTCACGTGTTGAATTTAGTTGTGCAAGATGGCTTGAAGGCTATTGATGAAGGGATTGTCAAAATTAGAGAATCTATCAAGTACGTGAAGGGATCCTCAATAAGGAAAAGAAACTTTTTGAATTGTGTGAAACAGGTTAATTTGAATCCAAAAAAAGGCTTACGACAAGATGTTCCAACTAGATGGAATGCTACTTTTCTTATGATTGAAAGTGCTCTTTTTTATCGTCGTGCTTTTTTCCGTTTGGCACTAACTGATTCTAATTACTTAGATTGTCCAAGTAATGAAGAATGGGGTAAATTAGAAAAGATTTTCAAATTTTTGGAAGTATTTTATGAAGTCACATGCATTTTTTCTGGAAATAAGTATTGCACAACAAACTTATATTTTCCTTCGGTTTCCACAGTTGAAAGAACTTTAAAAGAAGAAATAGAAAGTTCGGATACGTTTATGAAGATAATGGCTTGCAAAATGTATGAGAAGTTCTCTAAATATTGGTCCGAGTATAGTCCAATTTTGGCCCTGGCTGCAGTTTTGGATCCACGTTATAAAATGCAATATGTTGAGTTTACTTACAAAAAACTCTATGGAAGCAGTTTTCGTGAGCATAGTGATTGTATTCGGGAGAAGTTACATGATCTATTTGGTGAATACGTTATTGAATCACCCATGTCTTATAGAGCATCAACCGTTTCAACAAGTGATTCAAGTAACAGTGTTTACAAAAGAAAGATGACACGACACTTAGTAAAAGCACGAGAGAAATGCTACAAGTAAGAAGTTGTTTTTAGTAATTAATTGTTTTTTATAATTAGTTTATTTCATAAGTTTTTTAATATATACTAATTAATTTTCTGTTTTTATAGGAGTTCACAGTATATGAAACTAAGGAGTTTGCTTTGTCTCAAAAATCAAAATTAGAGATGTATCTAGATGAACCAAGAAGTGACATAACTGAAGATATAAATGTACTTTCTTTTTGGAAAGCTCATCAATATCGTTATCCGGAACTTGCTTCCATGGCTCGAGATATTTTGAGCATCCCCGTCTCCACGGTTGCATCCGAATCAGCATTTAGTAATGGTGGTCGTGTTCTTGATCAATATCGGAGTTCGTTGAAACATGAAAATGTTGAAGCTCTAATTTGTGCAAAAGATTGGTTGTTTGGGATTAAAGGTAATTTGTATTCTTCTTGAAACATTTGTATAAAGTATTTAATATTTTTTAATATGTTTTTAATATTGTTTGTAGGTGATGAAGAGTTATGTTTACAAGATCTTACAGAAGATTTTATGAAGTTGGATAGCAATGCCAATGGTACACATGAAGAAATGGAGTCACAAGCTTGAAGACATTTAGCAATATTTTATGACGTTTTATGTTATTTTCTGTCACTAAATGCGTATTTATTATGTTTAATTTAACTTTTTTTGCAAGAACTATGAATGACATTATGGAATTGTTTTTTTTTGGTAAACTATTTCGTGTTATCGGTTTTTTCGTGTTTTTTTATTTTTTTTCGTGTTCGTGTTAACGAAAACAAACATGACATCGTTTCGTGTCGTGTTCGGGTTGAGGGAAAATAATTCAATTCGTGTCGTGTTAGATAAAAACACGGAACGACTGCCCGATTTGCCACCCCTAGTCCAATCCATCCATTCCATTCATGTGGGATGTGATAATTGTAGCGGTCCACATCTAACAAAAGATTGTGACCTTGATGAGAACGGAAACCGGAAGGCTCAAGTGTGTTATTCAAGCGGGGATAGATATGATGAAGATTAGAGAAAACCTTAAAAGGAATGGATACCATATGAGGAATACAAGAATGCCAAGGAGGAGAAGTTCAAACAAAAGACAAGAGGGTACTATCAAAAATAAGAACCGATGCCCGAAAAGAAGACGGATCTTGAAGCAATGCTCACCCATTTTATAGGCGCGTTAGAAAAAAGGCATGTTGAAACCGATGCAGCGATGAGATATCAACAAGCTATGATGAGAAATCGGCAAGTCCTTATGAGGAATCGACAAGCTTCAATCCTCAACATCGAGAAACAACTCGGGAAAGTTGCTAAACAATTCAATTAATGGCCGCCGTGTGGACTTCCAATCAACACCGAGCAAAATCCAAGAGGGGTGCACATCAATGTTGTGACAACAAGGAGTGGAAAAATTGTCACGCCTTTGGCCCAAATCCCGAATGAAGATCCAAAATTGGTGAAGGAAGTATAAGAAGAAAACCGAGAATTACACTCTGATGACAAAACACTACGTATTGAGGAAAAGAACAAGGCGAGTTTTCCGACTGAAGAAAATAAGAACCCTCTGGTAAATCCATATCAGCCCCCACTGCCATTCCCGAGCCGAGCTATACAAGTTAAACATAATGAAGACTACGAAAAGTTTCAAGAACATATCGAGGCCCTCCAAATCAACATCCCATTCATTGAGGCGATGGCTCAAATGCCAAAATATTCTAAGTTCCTAAAGGATCTCCTCACCAATAGAAAGAAGATGGAGGAGGCATATAAGGTGGTTTTAAATGAGAATTGCTCAACCGCGATGTTGAACAAACTACCAAAGAAGACGGGGGACCCGAGAAGTTTAACCTTGCCATGTCAATTCGAGAATTTGGCTACAAGTTATGCATTGGCCAATTCGGAAGCTAGGGTAAATCTTATGCCCTATTCATTCTTCAAAAAGTTGAACCTTCCAGAACCAAGACCCATCTATATGGTGATTCATCTAGAAAACAAGACGGTAACATTTCCAAGAGGGATATGTGAGGATCTTTTAGTGAAAGTTGACAAATTCGTGTTTCCTGTAGATTTTATCGAGATAGATATGGAAGAAGATCATCAAGTCCCAATAATCCATGGAAGACCTTTTCTAAGCACTGCTCGAGCCCTAGTGGACGTGTGAGAGTCTAAACATACTCTCTAGGTAGGAGAAGATGTCGTCACCTTTGGAGTAGATCGAGTAATGAAGCATTCAAGGTTTAGTGATGATACAGTTTTCTTGGTGGACACGTTTGAAGAGCTATTGGAAAAAAGAATTGGCGAGCTGGCAAGAAGAAAAATCAGGGGGATTCACCTTCGTTTTACGTGTAATTTTTTGTTTTGTTTCACTTAGCTTATGAACCGGAGCTCCAAATCTCGAGTAGTACCACCATTGGAAGATCCAGAATCAACTTTTCGCAAAAAGAAGGACAAAGAAATAGGGGAAGCAAGCGGTTTTGAAAGCTTCGAGAAAACTCAAGACGAGAAGGCAGGGGATTACGAGCCCGAAACACCACATTCTGAAGATGATAGTGAACCCAAGTCTGAAGTAGAAATGGCAGACATTGCAGACATATCCATGAAGGAATACAAGAAGAGGATGCATGATGATACTAGACCAGGTCTTGCACAACTCACCATTCCAGCAACAACAAACTTAGAGCTGAATGGTCACATACTTGCCCAGCTGAAGGACATCCCATTCCACGGGAAGGATCACGAAGATGCCTATAAGCATATTGACGAGGTCAACGACATAGCCAACTACTTCAACATTCAAAATGTACCATGCAAGACTGTGATATTAAGGATGCTATCGGTTACATTCAATGGTGTCGCGAAGGATTGGTTGAAGGCACTCCCTCCAGGTTCAATAACAACATAACCAAAGATGCTTGAAGATTTCATTCAACAGTTCTGCCCCCCCCCCCCCCCAATACTCTAGAAGTTAAAGAAAGAAATTGCCAATTTTGCACAGCAAGGAGGCGAATCACTTTATAAGGTATTGGAGAGATACAAAAGTTTGCTGATTAATTGTCCCCAGAATGATATCAATATGTAACAGGAAATCTCCATTTTCTATGATGGGGTAAATGTGAGAACGAGGAAGCTCCTTGACTCCCAAGGACCACTCACGAAAAAAGCCCCGACTATGATAAAGGGGTTGATTGAAGAATTCTCTAAACACTCAAGAGAATATCATAATCCTCGAAATGACACGACTCGAGGGACGGTGAATACATCTTCGGATGATATGGCGGTGGTAATGGCCATGTTGGATAGCATGGATCGTAGGATGACAAATATGGTCCAATCCATCCATTCCATTCATGTGGGATGTGATAATTGTTGCGGTCCACATCTAACAAAAGATTGTGACCTTGATGAGAACGGAAACCGGAAGGCTCAAGTGTGTTATTCAAGCGGGGATAGATATGATGAAGATTAGAGAAAACCTTAAAAGGAATGGATACCATATGAGGAATACAAGAAGGCCAAGGAGGAGAAGTTCAAACAAAAGACAAGAGGGTACTATCAAAAATAAGAACCGATGCCCGAAAAGAAGACGGATCTTGAAGCAATGCTCACCCATTTTATAGGCACATTCGAAAAAAGGCATGTTGAAACCGATGCAGCGATGAGATATCCACAAGCTATGATGAGAAATCGGCAAGCCCTTATGAGGAATCGGCAAGCTTCAGTCCTCAACATCAAGAAACAACTCGGGCAATTTGCTAAACATTTCAATTAACGGCCACCGTGTGGACTTCCAAGCAACACCGAGCAAAATCCAAGAGGGGTGCACATCAAGGTTGTGACAACAAGGAATGGAAAAATTGTCACGCCTTTGGCCCAAATCCCGAATGAAGATCCAAAATTGGTGAAGGAAGTAGAAGAAGAAAACCGAGAATTACACTCTGATGACAAAACACTACGTATTGAGGAAAAGAACAAGGCGTGTTTTCCGACTGAAGAAAATAAGAACCCTCTGGTAAATCCATATCAGCCCCCACTGCCATTCCCGAGCGGAGCTATACAAGATAAACATAATGAAGACTACGAAAAGTTTCTAGAACATATCTAGGCCCTCCAAATCAACATCCCATTCATTGAGGCGATGGCTCAAATGCCAAAATATTCTAAGTTCCTAAAGGATCTCCTCACAAATAGAAAGAAGATGGAGGAGGCATATAAGGTGGTTGTAAATGAGAATTGCTCAACCGCGATGTTGAACAAACTACAAAAGAAGACGAGGGACCCGGGAAGTTTAACCTTGCCATGTCAATTCGAGAATTTGGCTACAAGTTATGCATTGGCCAATTTGGGAGCTAGGGTAAATCCTATGCTCTATTCATTCTTCAAAAAGTTGAACCTTCCAGAACCAAGACCCATCCGTATGGTGATTCATCTAGAAAACAAGACGGTGACATTTCCAAGAGGGATATGCGAGGATCTTTTAGTGAAAGTTGACAAATTCGTGTTTCCTGTAGATTTTATCGAGATAGATATCGAAGAAGATCATCGAGTCCCAATAATCCATGGAAGACCTTTTCTAAGCACTGCTCGAGCCCTAGTGGACGTGTGAGAGTCTAAACATACTCTCTGGGTAGGAGAAGATGTTGTCACCTTTGGAGTAGATCGAGTAATGAAGCATTCAAGGTTTAGTGATGATATGATTTTCTTGGTGGACACGTTTGAAGAGCTGTTGGAAAAAAGAATTGGCGAGCTGGCAAGAAGACAAATCAAGGGGATTCACCTTCTTATCAGAAGAGGACATTGATGCTGAAAATGATCTAAAAGAGTTAGAAAGGTTGCTTGAAGAAATTAAATTTGAAGAACTTACAATGCATTATGAAGAACAAACACGGTGTGCTGAGGAGACAAACACGACATGTTCTGGTCAAAACTCGCAATCTAACAAATCAAATGATGACAACACAACGTGTTTTGATAATGTACAAGCCGTGTTCGGTAATTAGAAGACACATAAGGATCTTAAAACTTTACCGCAACACTTAGAATATGTTTTTTTGGAAGAGGATGAATAAAAGCCTGTTATTATTGCTTTTGATCTTACACCAACTAAAAAGGAAAGTCTCATGAAGGTTTTAAAGAAAAGGAACAACGCCATTGCTTGGAAGATTACCGACATCAAGGGCATTATTTCTTCCTATTGTTCACACAAGATCAACCAAGAAGAAGGAGCAAAACTGGTAGTATAACATCAGAGACGATTAAACCAAAATATGCAAGAGGTGGTCAGAAAATGAGATCGTGAAGCTTTTGGATGCCGGAATCATCTATTCCATTTCCGATAGCCAATGAGTGAGTCCAGTACAAGTAGTTCCAAAGAAAGGAGGAATGACGGTCGTGACGAACGAAAAGATTAAGCTCATACGTACACGAACGGTAACCGGTTGGCTAGTATGCATCGATTATCACAACCTAAACGATGCCACTTGAAAAATTGACTAATGCCCTGATCATTATCGCCCCGAATTGGAACTTGCCTTTTGAAGTTATGTACGATGCCAGTAACTATGCTTTGCGAGCCATGCTTAGTCAATGGG